GATTGGACAGCAGCAACTTGTTGCATCCGCGGGCCTTTGCCCTTCTCCACAAAACTCGGCTGGGTTTGCCGCTCATTGGCGGCCCACCGATTGGATTGAATTACTTTGCGCGCCTTATCCACCACATCTCGCAAAAGTGCAATTTTTATGAACCATAACCGGACCAGAGTTGCTTTAAAAAAATAAAATGAAATTAGATCCAAACTGGATCTGGTCTTCAAACAATTTTCAAACTGCATCTAACCCTGAACTGTGTTTTCGAAATTTTCCCACCCGCGCCCGACCCAACTGGGAACGAGAAAAAATGGTCAACCACATCCAACGCGCCCAGGACCCACACAACATCCACCCTTGGCCCGCCCAGGCGCACCCATGCCCACCCGTAACCCACCCATGTCCACCTATGCCCCAACAGCCCCACTTGTAACCACCCTTGCCCCGGTTGTACTTACCCAATGTAGTAGTGTACCCACCGAGACATAGCATTACACACCAATACTTCTCAAGTGTCCTTTACATTTTCAAGTCGTGAATTAGAATTCAATACATTTGCGTGTTTTTTCTGCATGATGACATTGAAGAGTCCCAAACACATTGGACAACCAGATTACCGTAATATCCAAAACAAATTCGATCTCGTATGCACAAGCAGTATCTGCGATAGTATGATCTACAAAAAAATAAACCTTTCAAAAATCCACACGGAGTACCTCGTACCTAGTATGTAACGCTTGCTAACATACATTAAACTTGATTAAAGAAAACAAATGACTGCTAGCTAACCAACGGCCCAAAACGACAACTTTTGGAGCTGCAACATCTATAAATTACTGATCAAATCTTTGTTTGATCGCACAAAGGATTGAGACCATTCCTTTTCTTCGGTATTGTGTTTCCCGCATCGGAGAAGTTGCACTCGCTCTTGGAGCTGGAGGCTGGCACATACAAAACTGAGCGGGTTGCACGGGCCATGATCGGCAAAGAGGGTAGCAGGAGCTGCTTCTCTGCATTGGCCTGTCTTGTGTTTCAGGTCTTCTTAATCGATTGATTCAGGACTTGGTCTAGATTCAGCTTGATCCTACGAGGATCATCTTCTGTTATCACTGATAACAGGCCGGTTGTCGATTCGTCGGTTTACGATTCAACTCCAATTCACTCATGCCACTCAACCTTAAGGCTTTAGCCTTGTGATTTGAATTGTTTTGTTGTGTTTTCGTCCGAACTTTATTTGAATGACCATTTAAGAAAAGTACTGAGTATTTTGTTTTGAGGAGTTGCACAAAGAGTGAGGCTTGTATGGCTAAAAGCAAGGGGTGTGAGTCAAGAGAATGGTTGAAGTTGACCCTGTGTAGTGAATGGCTTTGCGTTGAATCTTCGATGTGATTGCAGGTATGTTTGGTGATTCGGACTTTGGATTTGACTGYCTGCGCTCACATACATATATATATGGCTGAGAGAAGTCTCACTGTGACTGTGAGAAGTGATCGTCCTATATTAATAACCCTTCATATATATGTGAATATATATGTCTTGAGTGTTTCGTGCGGCCTACAGTGATCGCGCGTAAGGGTTAAGCAGATTACGTTTTTGAGAGAAAAGGGAGATCCCTCTTTATCCTTTGTTTTTTAGAGTTTCCATGKTCGAACGTGGTAGCACGTGGCAGCCGGCAAAGTCAAACCCCTTGACTTCTCTCCACGCCCTAGGTAGAAGGGGTTGGTCTCCAAGGCCATAAGAGACGATTGCCGCCACAGGTATAAACCTGTGTACCACCCACTCTCCGCAGGGTGCAGAAGAGGGTGTGGTTCTCAACCGCACTTGGCGGTTGTCCARCTTCGAAAGGTTAACCCTCAAGGCGTGTGTCAGCCGACACTTGAGTGTTGAACGCGACCCTCGAGACTAACGAGGACCGCATGAGTATGGGTACTACATAGTACGCCATCACTGCGCCCGCTTGCGTACGCTTGCATTGCTAGTCGATATGAGTAGGCCCTGCGTCCGCACGATTTTATACTAARTCTCACGCGCGACGCTTATCTGATTTCCGCRTTGGAAAGTTATGGGATGGTTACTAAGGGACTAGGAGTGTTGTCGCGCTCTTTTGTCCAGTGTCGCTCTGCATATGTATAGGTGTGTGTACGTGCGTGTTTTTATTTTTATGTTCTTTAGAATGGTGTGTGCGTGGTGTATGTGGGATACGTCCTAGTCGACCGAYGACGAGTCGTGCTTGGGACCTCAGCCCCCCAAGATGTCGTTTCGCGTGCGGGTTCGATAGAGGCGTAATAACGTGCGTACCCCCTATGCTACAGCGAACGAGAAACGCCCTCGGTTGGTCCACCTCTGCGATTGCAACTGATCAGCTTTCGTACTGGGGACTGGTAGCTCGGGGGGGATACGCCCACCGAAGGGAGGTGACAGATCCCGTAAGGTGGAGGTAAGTCCTGCCTCGCGTAGGCCCTATCCTGCTGTAGGGGCACGCGGGAGGTATGGCTGGCGCACTCGGCCGGAGCGGCTTGCGGAAGCTCCATGCATATTTGCGACGAGGATTTAGACCAACTCCTGCGTGACGAGNCCGGAGCGGCTTGCGGAAGCTCCATGCATATTTGCGACGAGGATTTAGACCAACTCCTGCGTGACGAGGCCGGGAGGGTCCCACGCTACCTTGTGCGGCGCCGGACCGATGCGCTCGACAGGTGGCGTCGTTGCAGGGGATAACGGTTGCCTGCTGTTGTCCCTGGTGGAACGACATCCGGGTATGAGAATGTGAGAAATAGGCAAAAGGAGAAGTTTCTTTTGGCTTTCATGGTTAATCGATTGATGATATTGAATAGAGAGCGAGTGGGAGTGATTGAGTGAGTTGGTCTTTGCTAAATGCAGTAACGATGGCGCAAGAAGGATAAACATTTTGTCTATGCGATCACACAATCTGACCAGCATGATGGTAGGTGGAGTTGATACCCCCTTCTGACCGTAAGAGTCGGTGAGTTCTGGACGATGCCTTGGGTAATTGATATGGCTAAGGTGAGATGAGCTGGTATCAACATGGCTAAGTATGATGGTTATGGGAGTTGGCCCTGTAAGGGACCTATTATGGTCGGAAGAATTATTTGAGTGGTCATGAGAGCAACTGGGTAACTTTGCTTTAGAGTGAGGCCGAGGATGAGTAAGGGAGTCTATCATGTCAGAAGTCATGGAAGGACTTCGATGAGGGTTAGGCTAATGATGTTAAAAGTCTTTATAAGCATGGATCGGGATCCTCGAGTCTGGGTTCTAAGGGTTGTTCGGATTATACAGCCATGAAAATGTGAGGTCTGCCCCGCGCAATGTGTTTGAGCTGGGCGTATAAAGCGGTGGATAGGAGTAGTGAGCACCATGTTATGACCTCAACGGAAAGGAGTAAGGGAAGTAGTATATCTACATGGCGTCTTTTCGGAAGTAGTATATCTACATGGTGTCTTTTCGGAGTATAAAGTGGTGGATAGGAGTTAGTGAGCACCATGGATATCTGATCCTAGAGGTAGTTGGAGTAACAGTGAAGGAGCTAACACTTAGACCACCTTGCTGCTTCTGATGAGGCAATAAGTTGTAATTGATGTTAGACCGTCGCTTGAACCTTTCCAGGTTTGGACCATCCACTGGAATCTATGGAGCTGGAGCTAAGGACTTGAGACTATTCTCTTCTAAGGGCATCTCTCCTCAGTCATATGTTGAACTCGTCAATGTATGCCAGATTTTATCTGTGTAAGCTTGCTTAATGTCTAATTATGAGAGATTATGTGCTTGATGTTATTATATGGCTATCCTTTCCAGGGATGTCTCTACCTTGGCTATTTATCTGGAGTATGGATTTGAACTTATCAGTCTACAAGGATTTATATGAGCGTCTCAAGTCCAATTATCAACCTATGGATGTCTATTAAGTTTGTGTATGGATCGCTCCTCAAAGAGGGTAAGAGATATTATGCAGAATCCACGTTTGATGCGGATTCAAAGGTGAATGGAGTGACCGCTTTCTTGAGACAAGTACTTCTGAGGAAGTGGTTAATGTGTAAGGTCTACCCTAAGGAAGGATGCAATCCTATGTTATGATTCCCCTGAAAGATGACTTTGAAGAAGTTATAATCTTGTCTTGTAAGTAGTAGTGAGACCCACGCCGGAACTATGTTCTTGGTCCATAGTGGGGTGTTGTTGTTATATCTTTTGTGATAAAATGACTACACTACCACCGAATAGGAGGAAAGTGTTTAAGCCTTGTTAGGCCATGGTCTATAAGGGAAGCGACTACTACTTGCCACAGAAAAGTACGGGGTGAGTCCCCAACTATTTTTGTGTCAAGTGGGTTCACCAGCACAGGACGGGGTGACATCACCCGAAGCGTGTATGGTGAGGTTGTTTATCTTCTTGGCAAGGGTCTGCAAGAAACGGACAGTGGAATCGGAGGGAGAAGCAGTGTGGTGTGGTCCTTGAGTGGGACTCGGGGATTTGAGATGCTATCCTTTCTGAAAAGGATTACACTGCCCCTCGCCACAGTATACTCTGTCAAAGCCAGGGGAGTAAGGTGTGATACTCTCACAAGAATTATATCTGAGAGTATTAACTGTTGGCAATCATATCTTTGATCATAACGTGCCTATCATATGTTATGCCGGTCGATATAGGCCTGTTGTTATGAGATATTTGTATATGCTTTGAGTAACTGACTAGCTTGTGCATGATGTGTTTGATTATTACAAGTATTATTGATGTTAGTTACTATGGTAATATATATTTTTTCATGAGTATTATAATTATGAATTTTTTATATTTATAAATGCAATATTATCGTGATATATTACCATTATTTATTTTCTCTAAGCTGGGTGGTCGTAAACACTGGAAAGGATGCATTTTAGGGAAAGATGATCTGAAGCCAAGGCTTCAGGGGCAGGGATTGTAGAAAGCGGCTGTCAGCATGGTAACGGGAGGCGTATGCTGGATGTTTTTCTATGATGGGCAGAACCCAGACCAGAGCAAAGGCAACTCGGGATGCCTTATGCTAGGGAAGATCCCAGTGTGGCCTTGCCCGTCAAAAGGGAGAAAGGGCTCGAGATCTCCTTGTCGAGGCGAGTCAAAGAAGGGGAGTACGTCTCTTCCTTGTGGGACATGTCAATAGACAAGGGGATCTTTATCTGGATCGAGTCTGGCTTTGATGACGATCAAGAGTGCGCGATTGTGAGGGTGACCCTGTATGCTCCACCATCTTTTTGGGTCTTACACGAGATTGAGTTGGCGCTTGGGCATGGAAGCCTGCTCACAAGACCCTTGGGGATAGCTGAGGGAGCTGCAACAAAATGGGCGAGAGGCAGGGTCCTTGAAGGAGAGGAGCAGGTGGAGACCCGTATAGAGATCAAACTTGCCGAAGAATTTGCACTACCTTCAGCCCCATTGAGAGTTGTCTTGCCTGAGTTCCTAATAGAAAAGAGTTTTGGGGGACAGGCAAGGGTAGAGGCCGCAACGGAGGCCGTGGTGAGGGTGCGAGAATGGGGATATGCAAGGTACACGTGCGAGTTGGTGTATGGCCTATATCTGGACCAAAGATTCTTGCCCCATGGCCAAGGGCTTAGGAATATGGTCAATATTGTTGATGCTTATGATGGCTCCCATGATCCAGATGACAGGGCTGTAGATTGGGACGAGATTTGTGTGGTAGTGAGCCGGTAGAGAGTACCCCCCATACTCTGCCAAGCGCGTCTCTCGCAGGCTTGTCTACAGCCACTTGCTATGTGATACGAGTGCGGGGGTCGGAAATATTTGTAGCCCCGATTACCGTCTGCTTATGGCTAGCTCTAAAAAGCTCTGCCTATGTGAGATGTATATTGTCTATAGAAGCCTCTAGTTAAAGTTGGGATCATATGGTGTAAATGGGAAGAGGGTTAGTATGAGTTGAGTATCAGCCATCTCTACTAGCCTTTTGTTTTGAGTTTCCTTGTGTCACAACTTGATGATCGATTGCTTGTCATGCGTGTCAGGCCGGTACCAGCATCCTGGCTGAAGGAAATGGTTTTGTTAAGATCCTGCTCTGGAGGAATACGTGCCTCAGTAAAGCGCTACTGTGCGAGTCGGTGAGCAGCTCGATGCCCCCGGACCTTCGTGCCCTATTGTTTCAAGGAAGGAATTTATCCGCTTTCCTATGCGGCTATCATGACTTTGCTCTCGCGAAAATGTGGGACGAAAAGGCGATGTGGAGCATGTTGCCGCTGTTCGTCTGCGAAGAGCTGAGTGAGGAGGTGTATACTCTCATGCTAAAGTCGCAGACCTGGAATGGGTTGGAGGCTTCACTAAAATCGAGGTTTCCAGAGGATAGGACGGAATGCCAACTCGGTGAAGGCCCCATGCAGCCAGCCGGGGTTGCGTTAACACAGGGGGAATTGAGTGGTCTACAGAGGCAAGTTGGGATATTGGAAGAGAGGTTGACGCGACTAGAAGAAGCCAGGCGTGGCAAGAGGAAGGTTCATGAAGGAATATCAAGTGGACCGATTGGGCAGGATGGAACAGAGGCAAGGGATGCTGATCAAGACTCACTCCTCCGTAAAGGAACCCCGAAGAGGCGAGCTTGCCCCCCGGAGAGAGATGGAGGCGAGAGGGTGATTGAGATAAAGGAGGAGCAGGAATCTAGCATAGCCCCACCTGTTATTGCGTCTGATCCAAAGAAGGGGCTCATTAACGTGGAAGCATCATCAACTGCAAATCGGAAGGAGCAAAGGAGTAAGAGGTGGCAAGAGCACTGGGCGAAGATAGTGTGTGATCGTTGTGGGAAGATTGGCCATGCCCCTCGGAGATGTAAAGAAAAGGGGGTGACAGGAAAAAAAGGGGAACCTGAACCTCCCAAGCTGACGACGGCTCAGCGAAAAGCGAGGAACCTGGCCCTAGGAAGCTAAGGTACTGGAAGAGGGCAGTGCTCGCGACAAGTAGGAGCCACGCCGCAAGAACCGGGAGGCAGGCCGGTGGAGGAAGCCAAAGGCAGGAAGCTGAAAGAGGCCGCGGGGATGGAGGGTGCAACAATAGAGGACGAGGTGGTGGCAGAGGAGGTATTGGAGGGCGCGACAGTAGAGAACGCGGTGGCGGCAGAGGAGGCACTGGAGGACGTGACAGGTGTCAGCGAGACCATAAGTGGAATGCAGAGAAGAAAAAGGCCTGATAAGCGACAGTTTGGATGGTAGTTGGGTAGGTAAAGCAGCCAAGAGTACGAGAAGGGAGGATAGAATGACCGAAAGCTGTGAAAAGTAATAAGGGGATGGGGTTAGAAAGAGTGTAGTAGTGTGAAGAGAGGAGTAACCCTAACTCTTAAGTTTGGAAAGTATACAGCCAGAAAATAGTCCTGGTCGCTTTGGCTTGTTTTACCTTTAGTAGATTCAGTCACATATACGGGAACGTGGGACAAGGATAGCAGGTTAACCGGTTGTGTGATTTTAATCCCATATTGTGGTCAGAAGGGGAACCTGACAATGTACCAAGAGGGTTTCGTAATACTGGTCCGGTAAGATAACCCGAGTTACAGGCGAGAGGGAGCCCAATAGAACAGCCGTATATGTGGGGTGCGTTAGGCCCGCCTCGGATCGAGTTATTGGAATGTCTCCAGTAGATGGAGCAAGGAGTGACCCTAAGGACATTGTTACGAAATAAAGGTTTATTCTACTAGGCCTATTGATTGAGAGAAGAAGATATGGGACCTACTTCGTGCCTAGGTCCAGATGATTGTACAGGGGTGAGAGGTATGAGAGACTTAGGAAGAGACCTCCGCGTGTGGGAGGTAGACTCGCTAACCTAGAAGTGTAGTTGTAAGGCTTGTATATGAATGATTTCTAGTCTTACCTTTCTTGGATATTTGAATCTGTCTTGAATTACTTGGATCCTTCCGATTTGAGGGGTGTGATTACGTCCTGACCAAAACTGCTTTAGTTTTGGCTCTAGTCAGGGAGGGCACGATTTTTGTGTGTGATACTGATACTAGTTTGAGTTGAGATTGTAAAACTCTAGGTGTATATATAAAAGGGCCTTTACCCGATATAGGCCTCAAGCCTTGTAAAAAATAAAGCAGCACGGGTTTTGAAAAGGTAAAGCATTGTGAAAAGGTATCTCGCCAGGGCTCAGAAACGTGAAAGCAGGTCAAAGGTCAAGTTCTCTATCAACAGGCACATCTAAGTCTAAGGCAAAGGGTATTGTCAAAGGACTTACCTGTTCACCAGGAGTTGTGTATGTCGTGTCTGTTCGAGTAAGAGTGTGTTTGTACGTGCAGGCAGTGTACCTGTTCGTGTAAAGGAAAGTGCCTGTTCAAGCAGTAAATGTGTCTGTTCGTTGAGAGTTGTGCCTGTCCGAAAGTAAAGTCATTAGGCACAGTCCCAGTTCTGGTCTAAGTCAAGGGGTTGATCCAGATCCAGACTTTCAAGTCCAAATACAGGCCGAGAGGCCTCAGCAGCAGTTGAACTTCATTGGGACTCTACTGGGACACATGCAATGCAGGGTCTGGGACAAAGGACAGGCCGAATTGAGCTAATGCAGACCCAGCGAGGAGTGACCAGCACTATAAAGGAAGCTGCCTGCCTCATTCCTCGCCAGATCTCCACTGGCTGCAATGCGTGGAAGTGYTGGTGCACTTGTGYGCTGAGTCAGGAGGAACARCGYTGGAGGTAGAAGATGCGCTGAATGCAGGAAGAAGCCTGTACGTTGGAGATGACGCAGCCATAGCTGCCCAGCGAGTTAGCATTAGTAGTAGTGGGTTAGTATGTAGCTATGAGTAGTATTCAGAGTAGATCCTCATGAGTGAAGGGTGTGTATGCATCGCAGGAGGAAGGGACTGAGGCTGAGAGTGTTCATTCAAGGTTCGGCTATGGAAGATACTTACCTGAGTTGGATGTGACCTGCAGAGGTGGCGCTGATGAGTAGTGACCACATTGATGACTTGGAGACTATCTGCAGGAGTAGTGCTGATTCACTGGAAGTCATAGGGATGAGTTGACAAGAGATTGGTGTTGCGCTGATGAGCGCTGAACTCAGGGGAACTTTGAAACACTTYGTATTCATATTTCTGATAATATAAGCTGTGAAACTCGGTCCTCTTCTTCTCTACCTTTGTCTATGGTTGAGACTATTGATCACTGCGTGTGAAGATGATGCATGACATGTACACATCTGCGTGAGATGGTCCCCAGGACCCATGCATATATGTAATTCAAGACCATATTGGTTCGCGTTTGAGTTGGGATATTGTACCCCTATGTATATATTGAGTTGAGATTTTTCTGAGACTACTATTTGTATATGACGATCACAATCACTTTCACGTATGTGGTTTTATCCTGATGTGTGATGGTTTTGTGTAAGAGATGTATGAGAAACATCTCATGTATCGTGTGTTTTGTGGATGTGAATGGACGTGAACTGTCTACTCGTTGGTATACTCGTGCGATCTGCCCACGGGCGGGTGATAGAGCCGTGTATAAGGAGAGGGAGTGCAGTCTGTTTTTGTAAAAGTGTGAGAATCCTAAGGGATTTATGCGTCTTTTGAGACTCGAGCGCTTACCATGTCGAATGTTTATTGATTGAGTTGTGGCAATGAACCATAAGTTGGTCTTTTAGTTTGAGTTGTTTTATGGTTGAGACACCTTCAAGTGGGAAGGTGGTCTTGTGTTTATGGGAAGACTCATCTTCAGAGAGGGAAGATGTTTTAATGAAAGGTCGCATGATAGTTCATCCTAAACAGAGAAGGTATGGTTGGAAGACCTATTGAGTGAGACCTTCTTCATATGAAGAGTGGTTAATAGATTCCATGGCATGGTAAGTTGGTTTTGGATGATGAAGTCTGACGAGAAGGACCAAAAAAACGGCTTGGATTATTGGTGGAACTGAGCATGTCGCAAGTCAGTGCCCGTAAATCTGGCTCGATCAACCAGACTATGGTGGGTCGAGACGGAGACCTAACATTTTTGTACTAGACTGCAGAAAGAGCTGAGATGAGATTTAAGTGTATATATGTATGTGTGTTTGATTGTGAGGATTTTCGGAAGGAAGGCGAGAGTGCCTTCTAAGGTCTCGGTTAAGGCCCGCGTCCCTAGTTATGGCTCTGCTTGCAGAGTAGAGACTAAGGACACTTAACGAGAAGCCGGCGTTTGTCTAGAACAAAGTTGAGAGGACGGTTATGAGGGCCTTTGGAACTTATGCTGTAATACCGATGCGTAGTACACCGGCGTCCTAGTGTAAAGACAATGGAGACCCAGGTTAAAACCCTGGCGACATATAGTTGTGTTGGCATGGATTGTTGGAAGCCTCGAACCTGAGTCTGTCGGCTAATCGGATTGGTTCCTTTCTCGTCAGCATTTAGAGTGTGGATGAATTTATTGTTTTCTGATTTGGCGAAGCAACGGGGATGACGCTTAATATGGTCCGGTAAGCTGTCGGTGCGAATACCCTTACAAGGGTATCCGCCCTGGTTTTTGTAGATGACAGAAAATAAGTTCAGTTCAAAGTTTGAGTATACCGCGCGAGGCGCGGTTGCGTCTGTGGTCAGGGCTGACCGGATGGCTGACTAGAGTAGAGAGTGTGTGGGCGCGCAACTTTGAGGCGCGCGTGATCTTTTTATTTTTGATTGATGATTGTGAAAGTCGGTGTAGTCGCTCGCCCGATTTTTTATTTTTTTGATTAACCTACATTTAAAAGGATTTTGTTTCTTGATTGATGCGCTTGTCTGTGACCGGTGCGTACGTGCGGGGGACGACGTCGACAACAATGGGGTTCTGAAAATGTTTTTGTAGGGCTGCGCGTCGCGCAGTATCAGTTTATTTAGGTGTTCGTTGGAGCTAGACCAAGTCTTGGGCCTAGCACTAGCGGTTACGACGTCCGACTTTCATCAAGGAGATTTAAGGATCGAGATTGAGCGACAACGGCGCGGGAATATCAGAGTAGTGCGAGGGGGCCGAGGGGTCGAGGGTCCGGCGGGGCTATCCTCTTTGGTTTTGCCGTCGGCGGCGTCCGATCTGTGGTGGAACTTTCTAAGTAATTCATTTAGCGCAAAATTCCTAATAATTTTTGTTATGCTACGGCGCGCCTTTGATCTGGACGCGACGTCGGACTTAGTGGGCGTCATGACGGTCGAGGAGCTCGGGCCCATGTTGGACGGGTCCGCGGGTCCAGGATGTTGGCGAAAGCCCTTACCACGCCGTTGCTGAGAACACGGCGCGGTCAAAGGGCCGGTAATGCTAAATGTATACGGCCTCGGACCCGGTAGGGGTCGCATGGGGTGTGTTGTATTCGCAGGATTGTCGGAGATGCGACTACAAACCGTTTTCGTGACCTCGCTGAGGTTGCTCTTTTATGGTATTACGGGGAACCCCGTAGCAGCCACATCCATGCTTGAGCCCCCACGGAAGGGGGGGGGGGGGGTAAATGCAGGAGCTGCACCCACCAGTAGGTGTGGTACCCGCTGCAGTAGGTGGATAATACTGGCGAGGGGTCAACCGGCAGCATCAGGACCGGGCTTCTTCGATGGGCCAGCGACTGCTTCCCGTCGGAGTGCCCGAGAGAGGACCGTCGGAATCGTGGAATAACACTCGCGGATGGAAGGGGGGCCGGCTGTTGTCGACTGCTGCGCCAAGCGAAGGAGGCCGACGGGCGGACCGCAGCGGAGCGACTATCGGACGGGCACAGCGTTAGCAGCGGCGGGGCAGGCCTAAAGAGGCAAAGCGAGGCAGCTCAGGCCCAACACTAAGGCAGCAAGGCGGCAGGCGGTAGGACCGTGAGGCGAAGGCCTGTAGAGGTTGCGGGACGGAGCGGAGTACAGAGGGAGACGAGCAGAAGAGGGGAACGAAGTGCCAAAGAGGGGAACGAACCCGGGCTGGAAAATGCGCCGGGTGCATGTGAGAATTACGGGCTATGGCCAGAGCTGAAGTGGAGTAGTGAGGTAGGCAGCAGCGGAGGCAGCCAACGCATAGAAGGAAGG